CTTAACAGGGAAACATATATAGGATAAAATTCAATACCAAATACTGCAAATTCGAATATATTAAATTTGATTTAATTTGGGTTTTTTTTTTTACTTTGGATCAATATTCTTAAATTAACTCTTTACTTATTACAAGGAAGCATATACACTGGAATTAAAAATTATTTAGAAAATTAAATGATTTCATTTGCACTATCCTTGGAATGATACTTTGGGCAAAGAAGCCAGAAACCATGATTAAAATAGTACCACTAACATTCATTCTGCAGTAAACGCTGTTGCGAGACGCAGACCTATACTCTATTTAAGAAACCCCTCTTAACAGACTTCAACTCCCAAAGAATCCTAAAATCCACAATCGCAAACCTAATAAATCATTATTGCAAGTGCATATGAATCCATCCTTATAAAACAAGATCAGATATATGTCGCAGGGAAACGATGAAATTAGGGCTTTCGTCAAATCTCTATAAAGGAGATGATAAATTCACGCAAGATGTTAAAATTACGTATCCGATGTCTTTTCCCTATTGTAAGTGAGTGAATTAGTTAAATCCCCGAATCTTTTTTTTTTTTTTTTGTAAAATCATGAAATGAAAACAATATTCTACTTATTTGGTGCTAGAGGACTGATATTTGGGGGATCGTATAAACTTTTGTTATGGTTAGAATCTGCTGCGACGCATCCCCTGGTGCATTTCTACCCCCGCTACAGCTTTTTGGCCAATATCTCGACACCCGAGCCTCACAGTCCATTCAGACTTACCTCATTCTATCCCTCTCTAACTGCTCTTCAAATTTTTATAATTTCACGCTCATATGGCCATTCCTTATATAGTTTTTAATTGTTTTAAATTTTTAAAATTTATTTAAATCCACAATGTCTTGGTTCCTGTTTGAGTCTCGGACTTGCGATTTCAAGTAACTATTCCACTCGTCGAGACCCATCCAGTCATATACTTGACTCCCATTGGGTAGGCATGGGGAGGGCTTAAGCACTAAAATATCATGCTCCAATGTTAATCCTATGGGGTCTGACAAAATTTCACCCCCCAAGGAGTTGAGCTTGGGACTTGATTTTTGGAGGTCCGCCATATTTTCGTGTATGCGAGAAGCTTTATGTGGAATTGGCTCTCTCCGGTGCTCCCCCTACAGGGCTTCCGCATTAATAACTCGAATCCTATGCTATCTTGGTCGACCGCATCGTCTGGATTCGATTATTTTCCCTATGAGTTCTTCAAATACGTAATTGTATACCAATAGCCCCATTCCTTCCTCTTATTTTACGTTTTTAAAAAAAATTAAATTTCCCATAGCTCCGAGGATTTTTGACCTGCATCGTTCCGAAGTACAAGGACTTAACCCCTCCCAGGTTTTCTATCTCCCTGAACAGCATTTTGCCAATGCAAATCCTGACTAGGTCATTTCATCATTTCACTGAAACAGTTCAGAATTTGATAAAATCACTTACTTTTATCATGGAAATGACGTTAAAAGACGTTATTTTAAAATATTGACAAAATGTCATACATACTTTTTATGTTCGAAACTAAAGAAAAATACCAGCAATATTATTCACACGCGGTGATTTGAAACACCTGTTTTGTAAAAGAGAAATCACATGTATTCACGTCTAGTTTTTTTAGAGATTTCTGGTGTTCCAAATACGTGAGGAAATAGCGGTGTGCTCAAATAAAATAACGAAAAAATTATGGACCAGCAATTTAAACTTTTAATTGATCTTTTTCTAAAAAAAAATTGTAACGTGTTCTTTCATTTCTCTAAATATTTTTCGATTAACCTGAAATCTTTTGCAACATAATTTAATAAAAAATGATTCTAGTCTACTTGGTTTTCTCTTTACAAGACAAGCACTTTAACTAAATCAGGGCGCCAGAATAAAGGATTTTAACAACTAACTTGAATTTTTTTTTTGGAAATAATTTGGAGAGGTATCTTATACCGTCAATCAATATGTCTTAGGTAAAAGGTGTCTGTAGCTACAAATTTAATCTTTTTTCAATAAATACAATAGCTCTTATTTTATATTCCAAAATGATTCGAGATATCTGAAGTTATTTTTTCAATGAAACAATTGTTAAAAATTTATAAAAGTAAAAATATATCTACGCTACAATATAAAAACCTTTTAACTAGTTCTAATTGAATATTATAATTCTTTCTTTTTTTGTAGATTAAAATTGAATTAAAGAAATTCGTACAATGTACGCCAACAGCCTTCGTGTTTTAAAAATAGTTCTAAGATACTAAATTCTCACATACGACAATAACAACAATTCTATAATCCATTGGGTGTAAGTATTAGTTGCCTTTATTTAAATGAAATTTTTTAGATGTCTTCATCTCAGCTTCTGCTTCCGGATCATAATTCTGATCAAACATGTATGTATGTAGAAATGTATATATGTAATATATATGCATATATGTAGAAAATCCAAGAGTGTTTTTAAAGCAAGGTCCATAAGCCCTGGCCCATGTCCTCAACCATGGTGTAGAGGGGTGGTTTTGTCTCGATATCGACATCCATCATTTGCCTCTAAAGATAGCAAATTTATTCAACAGTGTTAGATTTGAATAAAGTCCATGCTGAATCTCCATAGTCAACTGAGCTGTCAAACTTTTCATGAGAATTGTTAAATTGTTCATCAACCTTAACTAAATTTGCAGGCTTTATGTAAATGGAGTGAGAGAAATTTTTGAGCACTGAGAATTTTCATTCATTGCCTGAATGCAGTTTTCAATAGTCTGAATTAAAGTTGAATTAGAATATGCATGAATTCCGCTGATGATGGGCATAACTTTGGCCAACAATCGCATAAAGAAGACGATAATTGAATTTCAGTATACATTGGAAAAATTTCACTCTACATTTAGGACATAAACTAAGACCTTTTTGAATTAAATTAGTGGTGTTCATATCCTCCCAGGTGATTAATTAGCTTTGAATGAGTGAATGTTTATTAGTGTCTAACTATAAAAGCAACATGAGGGCGATTCGCGATGGATTTCTTAAGTTTTTAGTTATGGTCAAGTAACGAGAACATACCTTTAAGCTGGATCTTATTCTCCACAATTCCACCCACCATCAACAGGGAAGGCGTTTGAACCTCGGCGTATTTAACTTGCAGCAGCCCCTCTATACGTCGATTTTCAATGGCACCAAGGCTCAAATGCATGACACGCCACCCACGTGTTGTAAATCTAATTCAGTGGCGCTGCAGTTGCTTGTTTTCAAGTGTATATAATATTCCTGTCTGTCTTGTTTGTGTTGTAAATAAATGTCTGTCCCTCATCTCAGTGGTCCGTTTTACTCCCGTCTTCGCATCCTCCTGACAGGTAAGAACTAATTTATTCCATTTTTAAGGTACGAAATTGAAATGAATATTTGAAGTAGGATAACGAATGAATCACGAATTTGAACATTATTTTGAATTTGAATTCGAATACCACGAGTTATATCCTTAACCGATAGCTTGCTAAGGCTCCGGACATTTAGTGAAATGCGTACAGTAATACCCCAAACTTGCGCAATAGGTGGGACTGATTGCGCAAGTCGGGGTATGGTTTAAATACAAAAGTACATATAAACTATTTTTAGTTTGGGCTGGAAACAAAAGAAAATACCAATTCAGAAAAAATATTTAATAAAGTCTTAAATAACACAGTAACACAACACATCAAACCGTAGTTATTTTCATGTATAAAGGTTTCATAAAACCTAACAAAGTAGTTTACAGGCTCAAAGAATTTTTTCCTCCGGCAAAATTTCTTGTCGTAGCATGTTAATAGTTTTTTTATTCCTTGTTTTATTGAAAATGTACTCTTCGTTGGAGTCTATATTTTCAAAAATTTGTGTTATTCCTTTCAATTAAAGAAAGGTATTCTGTCGAATCCCTAAATTTAATTCTGTCGTCTTATTGAATTTGGTCTAAAGACTCGTGTTCTTCAAATCAAAATCTCCATTGTCTTGCTTTCGCTCAGGCATTTCTATGAGCTCATCAAGTGCCAGCTCCTGAATTTTGTGAATCCAGCAGTGTTTGACCGTTATATCTATCCACTTCTAAATTTATTTTTCCTATCAATATCGAAAACTTCTTCCATCACATAACGGATTTCACCAATTTTGTTTCTGATCAAACGAAAGACGAATCGACGAGATTTGAAAATCGCGTAACCCGGTTTCACGTAAGTCGGGGTAGCTATTAGTTTTGCGGCACCATGGGCATCTGTATAAATTACAGCTTATAATAAATATTATTATTTATGAATTTAACGAGGGAAATAATTTGAAAAATTCATTAATTCTTTAGACAATTTGGCTTAGCTTCACCCTCTTTTCTCTCTCACTCGTCTTTAAGGGATTTTTATCCACACACAGGTCTATCAATCACACTTATATGAATTTTATTATCTTTTTTAAAGATGCTGGGAACATTTACCTGTGATTATTAACAAGTAATATAACTTCATAAATAAAAATCATGTTTTGCGTATTAACAATCAATTGTCATTTTTAAATAACTCATTTGAATTACTTTTTTATGTAATAAATACTGCATTTTAAAAATGTATCCCCATTTTTATTAAAAAGTAATATAAAATGATGATTTAAAAATATACAAGTAATCTCTCTCATTTCTCTTGATAAAGTATTAACAATTATATAATGCTTTTTTACATGGTAGATATCATTATATATTGTTTACTAAACGTTTTTAGCACTGAAATGAGTTTTAATGAAAAAAGTTGTGCAAAAAAATGTATTTTGCTTCTCTTTTGGATGAATAAAAAAAATTATAAAGAAAACTTTTATTGTGAATCAGTTATTTTTCTTTTATAGATTTCTTAACAGCTGAAATGTGTGTTTCATTTTAAATAAATAAAACGCTGAAAAAAAGTAACATTTATTCCCCAAATGAATTTTTCAGATATTCTTGTCACTTGATATCGTTTTAAATGGTTATCTCTGTAAAAAGTAATAACTCTCCGATAGCACCGACGAGATTCGAACTCGTGATCTCCTGTTTACTAGACAGGCGCTTTAACCAACTAAGCCAGAAAATTTTAACTATTTGCTATAAATATTACTTATAAACTTGCTTTTCAGTTAGTAGCATACATTGTTTTAACTAAAAGGTTCACAATCGTTACAATTTCTCTTCTTTTCATTGAATACAGAAATGATTACATTGTTCACAGAAATAATTTAATGCTCTCTTGGTGATATTTGAAGTTATTTTTTGAAGCAAGAAAAGGCCATAAACAATACTTAAAAATTCTACAAACTAACGATTTACAAAAGTTTTCTTTTTTGCAGACTGAGTTCAAGAAATTGATAACACAATTATTTTCAAAAAGAAGATTTATTTAGAGCATATGAAACGCATAATAATAATAACAATACCGTTGGTTAAAGAAGAAAAAAATAGTAAAAATTTAAATTTGAAAGAAAAATATATTACTTGTTACAAATTTAAATGTTTTTAACCATTAATTGCTATATATAAAATTAAGTGAAAATTTATATTCGAACCGGCATTGTATATATCTTGTGTAATAATATGTTATCATGTTTAAGTGATGTTTAAATTCTGCAGAACTTGAATATTTAGAAATTAACTCGTTTGAACAATGCGCTTACAGGGTTCAAATCACCAAAAAATAACCCAAAATTAATACACCATATACTCAGGTGTATATTCCGCGCCACTTTTAACATTTATGTAAAAATTAAAAATTGCAACTTGAAAGCATATACGAAAGCTAAAGCCTGGTGCGCATACTATACCAGAACGTATGGGACTGATAATTCAATCTCTACCTGTAAAAAATTCATTGATTTTAAATTGGCTTACTAATCTTTGAAAAGTACTGCTTGGCATCTTTCGTAAAATCGAGAGTCTTATGTAGGTACTTCTAACAGAGATTACTTATAATTTATTTTATTCTCACGATTGGAACAAATTTCTTATTACAATGTTATACATTTTTGTAGAAGAAATAAATAAAAATCACATATAAGTCATTCAATACCATAATAACTTATCGACTATTAAAAGTTTTAATTCAGATTTCATTAGAGATTCAATCCTTAAAAAAGCAAAAAACACTTCTGTATAATTAAGGGTTTTTTACAGTCTTAATACCAATATATAACAGAAATATTCATCAATATGAACATTATCTGAATTTCGTTTTAGTGATCGGTATTTGCTCTCAGAAACTATTTTTCAAATTATTTGAGTGAAAAAGCACATATGCTGCAAGCTGAAAAAATCAATTTTTCTTTTTTTCATCTTTACAAACTTTCCTTACGAATTCTTAGTTATATGAGTTATCAACAAATTTGGACTTTTAAGTAATTGGAATAATAGGCATTTTTCATACATTTTCTAACCAGACAAAAAAATAGTTCTTCTGAGTGACCTGTAATAACATCGAATTGGTAGGGCTTGTGCCATTCATGCCTGTGTCAATACCAACTGACAAATTTTCTATTAAATGTTAACGTGCGCGTGTTGTTTTTACTTTCATTATTTCAAAATTTCTTTACGACCCAAACCGCACGATCATGCGGGTAAGATATTGTAATACGTTTTTGCTTCTGGAATAATCGTACGTAAGAAAATAGCACATCTAACGATTGAGCTGGTTTGCAGAAAATATAAAAGTGTTACTTTTTAAAATATATATGTCTATTATTACACAACGCTTCAACGTTGATATATTTCAGAATTCGTATTGAAAAACGACAGGAAAACATTTGTAATATTTATATTTATGTGTTTTTACTTTCTTCATTTAAAATTGCCTGAATATTTTGAAATACACGTGATACTATTGGTACTGCTATTCATAATTAAAAGCAATGTAATGAAATTATTATTTGCATATTTCTTTTAAAAATATTTAGTTTTATTTTCATAGATAAGAATTTGTCTAAGAAGAAAATTGAGACAACCAGTACTGCATTTAAAATATTAAAATGTAAAAACAGAAATGTGAACTAATAAAATGAAGGCAATTGAAGAATAATTAAAATTAAGTGCGCTTTAAAATAAAATATAAAAAAAATAGTATGAAGGAAAAATATAAAAAATAATTTCTGGAAGAATTTGAAAAAGGTTTTCTGTGTCCATCACTGCGCGTCTCGAAAAACCGAAATGCTTGCGTAGGGGCTGGTATAGTAGAAATTTTGCTATAAACGATTAGATTACTTCTGTTCCTCCAAATGAATCAGCAAATATCCTAGAATAGGAGATTCCAAATCTTTCTGGATCATTTCTGCTGCTTTTTATGGTGTTTCTTCAATTAGTTTTTTTTTGTTTAGTCTTTAGGAAAGAATATGCAATATATTCTTTGATCTTGCAGTTAAGACTATTTTTGCAGTATGCATTAGAGCGTGAACTTAACTCGGATAACATTTTTTCGGACTGAAAAGATGTGCCTCGACTTTTATAAACATTTATGACATTGTAACTCATGCATTTGTTTATAATATATTGTTCTTAAATTTTCAAAAATATTTAATAAATAATCAGTTTTTTAACATGTGAAGGGCTATATCATTTAGCATTTAGGTGTAGGAGAAAAATTGAGAAACACATCTTATAAAAGAAAAGATATATCGACAGGGATAAAAATAAGTCATAAAATAAGTCATTATCTACAGGATAGTGAAACCAGAATATAATTTTAATGTTTGAGTACTTTTACATATAAGAAAATATTACGAATTTGGGTCCTATTCTTTAACATTAGCCGAAAACAGCCTTAATTCAAATGGACTTATTCTGCCCTTTCTTGACAGTGCGTTGTTTTCGATGAGATGTGTCCGTGGTAGTCTAGTGGTCAAAGTAACTGACTCGTGGCTATCTTGTGATGAATTAGAGCCAAATACCGCTGAAGAACCACCGTGTATAAGAGATGCACATTAAATTTGACCAGAGCTCAAACGTCCTCCCTTTGGTATGGCGTGGTAGTTAGGCAGATGCGTGCCTGCTCAGGTGTCATCCGCATCACTTGACCATGGTTCAAAATTACGAAATCCGTCGTCAAGTGTCTCCATGTAGCTGATTAGCACGTCCTTAATATTCATTCACTAACTCACTCGTAGAATTGAGAAAATTATACAAAATTTTCATTTTGCAACACATAACAGATATATTTTTCTTTCAATTAAATAGTCTATAAAATTCTCTGCTTACATTTTTTAAGTTGTTACAGAAATAATATGCTACAAATTTGTTGGATGCAATTCATAAAGCATGGCTAATTTATTCTACAATTATTTTTCAGAAGACTGATCGTTCCTACAGCATAGTGAGCGATGTTATTTTTTTGAATTCATGGGGAGAATGTTCAAATCGATATGTTGATTTAAGCCCTGTTATCACTAAGATTCCATCGTACTGGATGATCATGGACACTAAACATTTAATTAACATTTCCTTATTTTATGACCTAAATGTAGGTGGCCACGGTAGCCCAGGGTTTATTATGTCGCACTCTTGGTGGGAAATGTTATAAGATCGAGTCTCAGTACCAATGAAATGGTACACGGTCTGGAGCTCCACACATTTACTTGAAATATACCTAAATTTCGGTTTTAAATGTACTGTGGAATTTCCCCCAAATAGAGTTTAAATGAAACAAATTCTTCGCCTCTTGACTTTTGTGACCTACCTAGTATGGTGGTTATGACGTAATCAAGTGCGCTTGGGTTCAAATCCGAATAAGGCATGGATGTTTCTTCGGGAAAAAAGAAGTAGTACTTTCTCCTGGAATGGATTCCGTCTCTCGAATTTAAAATAGAGTGCCCTTCTGTTCTATGCTGGGATCATCGTTTGTAAAAAATTATATTCTTCTGTGTTTGTATTGTATGTTTCTATTCATCTATCTCTCGTCTTTCGTATGTATCCCAGTATGAATCACACGACAACAACAAGTGATTAAACAATTTGCTATTTCGATTCAAAATGAAGATTCAAATTTAAAAGTTAACGTTATTCAAATTATCGACTATTAATCAAATTTGTTATCTTCAGAGCAAATTTACCATCATTTAATCGACCACTCGTTACTGCCGGTACAAAAATGAAGTATGGTTTGGGTCATGATTGGACTTTTTAAATAGTTTAATCGATTCTGGGAAAGCTAAGTGAAAGGCAAATTGGGAAATTATTGTTTTTTTAGTAAGTCATCTGCTGCTTTTACAGGTAATGCGTGCGATATTTTCAATAAGTGAATTTTTAATGTACCTCTTATTAGAAACATACATGAATATATTACTAGATTCTGATAATTATAAATAAAGATAACATTTTAATATATTTTTATTAGTAGCATATTTTTTAGAGTTCATTTGCTACAGTATGTTCTCAAATTGTTTGAGCTTGTGTAAAAATTCCTCTAACAATAAATTCTTGAAATAGAACTTTTTATGAGTTTTAATTTTTTGATGGAGAAAAAAAATTATTTCAATGTCAAGTTTTAATAAGACGAATGATTTAAAAGGTTTTTTCTATTTTATTTTTCTCATTTTATGAACTTTATTGAGGATTTTACTGAGGGCCCGTGCTTTTACAAAAGTAGGTTCTCCATTTGTGTGTGACAGTTTTAAGTAAATATTTTATCGCGTATATGTTGTCAGATACTCGCACAAACTTTAATCCGTAACAAATATATGTTCGTGGCTCACATTTCACAAATTAGAGAAAAAATTCAACAAATGCTATCGATTGTCTTAACGAGTGAGACGGATATGTGAGAATAATATTTTTGCACCGTTTATATTTTATGGTATTCATAATCGTTGATATCAGGGGTTTAGCTACCTCCGTATCAACCTTATTAGTGATACGAGGTCCCAAGTTTCAGGAGCCACAAAACATGCTAGCAAATAATCGTAAAATGCTAAGGGGGGTCGCAAAGAAAAGACCCCAAAAAGTTTTGATATGGGGCCCACTAAGGACTAGCTACGCTAGTGGCTGGTATCGTAGAGTTTGGTATAATTGTTAGGAATGGGATTTCTAACTTCCTGTAATTTATTATCGAGGTTTGAG